ATTAATTTGGGTATTTTAATTATGATTCATTTTAGAGGAAATTGGGTGGGTATTGGGTTATGGGGCAGATAGTTAAGTTATGGGTTAAAAAAAGGGGTCAAACGGGTAGTTTAATAGGATTAAGACACGTGTAAAAAAATAGGAATCCGTTAGTGAGAGGGGTATATGTGTACCTATAATTGGACGGCAGGGGCTTATGTGGACGCAAAGTATAACGGAGGGCATATACGTACCATTTATTAAAGTTCGGGGGTAAATCCGTCCCTTTTCCCTTTTTATTTTAATATTAAATGCTCATAAACAACAATATTTTCTACATTCTACAATTGTTTTCTAATTTTTATGATCAATTACTAGTTTTTTTTAAAAAAAATACAAAAAAAAAAGAAGTAAATACACTACTGGTTCGTTTAAAAAAATGTCATGCTTTTCTTTGTTAATTTGTTTTAAAAAGAATGATTCTTTTTCTTTTTTGATTATGTTTTAATTTCAATTTTTCACGTGGTATATTTTAGATCATAAAATTAAAGAATATTTTAATACATTTGATATTAGTTTTATTTGAAGTTGTATCTCCTTTTAGTTTTGTTTTCTTTGATTAACAAACTGTGATGTAGTTTGTTATGCTTTGTAAATACCAGTTGGTGATTAATGAATATACAGTTAATTATTTAAAAAAAAAGGTCTGAAATATATCCAAATTTTGATTTAAATTGCTGTTACGATATCAAACTTTGGAAAGGACCTTTTACCCCTCTACACTATTTAATAGTGTATTTTAAAGGTATATATGTTCCCACGTGGACATCATAAATATTACATTATTATAAATAGTAATGTGTCCACGTGGACACATTACTATTTATAATAACGTAATATTTATGATGTCCACGTGGGAACATATATACCTTTAAAATACACTATTAAATAGTGCAGGGGGTAAAAGATCCTCCATAAAGTTTGATATCGTAACATTAATTTCGATAAAGTTAAAATATTTTTCAAATCATTTTCCCTTTATAATTTTTATACTCCGTATCAAAATTAAATAAGGCTATTCCTTTTTTAATCCGAGGAAATATTTATTATCACTCCTAAATGTGTGGAAGATCTAAGTCCAGTACATCTCCATAAACGTGACTGAAATAACACCCAAAAATAGACAGGAAATAACTCTAATGTTTTGTCTTTTTCCTTGTTGACGAAAGAAGTACTCTTCTAGACTACCTTTAAATAATTTCTTTTTATATAATGTTGAGTAGGAAATGTAAAATTTTCTAATTTTAAAAAAGAATGACGGAGCTTAATAAAATAAAATAGATTTTGTGGTTCAACAAAGCTATGCCAAATATATTAAAACTAGATAAGTATGGCCCGTGTCATCACGGGCCCAACATTTTATTTGAAGTAGTTAAATTCTTTTTAGGATAAATTACAGAAATCACATACTTTTAAGGTAAAATTACAATCTATTCCTTAAAAATTTATAATTACAAAAATCCCTCAAACGGATGCAATAATATAAGCGCTGATACATTAATCTGATGTGCGAGATACATTAATCGTTAAGTAAGAAATATTACATTTTATACATGATACACTAATCTGATGTGCGAGATACAATAATATTAAGCGCTTGATACATTAATCTGATGCGCGAGATACACTAATCTGATGCGCGAAAATGAGGAATTTTGAAAATTTGTAAAACTTATAGGGGATAAGTGATAATAAGTAAACTAAAATGTGGAATTTCTGTAATTTTTCCTTCTTTTTATGCTTTGAAGACCATCTGAAAACAATTAAATGTAGTACATCAATATTACAATGCAAAAAATACAATGAAGAAAGATACTGGTTTTTGCATATTAAGTTCTGGTATTACAAGTGATTAAATTAAATTATTAGCTGAGTATATCAATTCTCATACTGATCAAGAATTAGATAGACAGAAGCAGTAATGTACTCCGCAACAATGTTCTCATCAGAACATTTGATATAACTTTAATTTAGGACCACAAGATTCAAAAGTCTTCTTTATTTACTTAAACTTTGTGTCAAGTCAAACCAGGTCATTAAAAAAAAGCCATAGAAATTATAAAATATGGCTATTTTTAGAGTAAAAAGATTAGTTATAATGACATACCAGTGAGCTACAAACATCCAAGGTCTAATAGGGTTGTAGCCTAATATAATTGCCTTCCTCGGAGCATCAAACTCCTCCTTCCAAACAAGCTGCCAAGTTGTGTCTTTGTGTAACCTGAAATAGAGAAAAATGTGAAAGTTAAAGTTTTTACATATAGATGAATAATGAGTATAAGATGCAAGAGTCTAATTTCTACAACATTTTTCTTTCTAGAGTAAATTAAGCAGCCTTTCTGTTTCGAACTTATCTGAGGTAAGACTTTTCCACTTTAAACAATATGTTCTTGTTTATATACTCAAACAACAGATTGTACAGAAAGCTGGTAAGACACAACGCAAAATCCATCCAACACATCATATTATCATCCCATGGTTCATACTATTTACCACTGTTAAATGATATAAGAATGAAAATTTTAGTTAGGATTTTGTAATTTAATGACAATGAATAGAGGTTCGAATCAAAGAGACAAAAAATTATCTTGGAGCCGTTGTGTTTCTAGGGTGAGACATCAGTATTCTTATAAAAGTAAAAATGTTTATTATTTTTGATGACAAAGTAAAAATGTTTATTATTTTGGGACATTTTTCGTATAGAGAAACATTCAAGCAAAGAAACTTAAAGACTCTGTAGATTGTAGTGGTATGGTAATTACAGAGAAATAAAACTATAACACTCTTATTCTGACTTTTATAGTCGACACTATTTATTTCAAAATGGAACAAGAAACAATAAAATTGACTGATGTATCAAAACCATTACAATTGAACCTTATATTTATATATATATAAATGTTCTACAACATTGAAGAGAAGACCTAACAAAAGAGAGAACCTAATATACCTCCAATTTTAGCTCTGCACAACCTAACATACCTCCAACACCAATGATCTGTGTGTAAATGTGTTCCTAGATCTCTGTTGAAAGGCCACAAAACCTCTATAGATAGCTATATTCTCACGATATACATACCATACTTTTAAAATACTCTTTTACAATACCTCAAGCTCATTAGCCTTCTACCATGGCATTATAATGTTACACATTAATTGTTTTGAAGCATAATATTTGTATTCCTTAGGACCATACAGTAATGTTATCACATCAAAAATAAAAATGATACACAATTCTTAAGAAATAATTCCTCCTTATCACAATAAGATCTGACAAAATGCAATAAATATGTTACAAAACAGAGATAATGAAATACTTAGGCATTTGTCAAGTCTAATTTAGCTCGCTCTAATTGAGTAATCTGACAATATCTGCCAAATCTTAGCATCTATAGAATTTCTATGAGACATTTTCTATATAAGAAGCCTACCAAATTTTAAATAGAGGAAGAGACTATGTAAACAATTATACATTTTTGAACCAATCTTAATGTAATTTTAAGTCTTATCTTGTTTCCTTTAAAATGTTTTGATCACCATAACAACGCATATAAATCAATGTATTTGTAGGTCACTTGTAGTGTCATTTCTAATCTTGTGTAGTTGCCTTCATACAAAACAAGTCGTAAAAAGCAATCTATAGATCAGTAAGTCGATTTTTTTCTCAAAAAAGAAAAGGAAAACCATAATAACGTGAGACATCAGTATTCTTATAAAAGTAAAAATGTTTATTATTTTTGATGACAAAGTAAAAATGTTTATTATTTTGGGACATTTTTCGTATAGAGAAACATTCAAGCAAAGAAACTTAAAGACTCTGTAGATTGTAGTGGTATGGTAATTACAGAGAAATAAAACTATAACACTCTTATTCTGACTTTTATAGTCGACACTATTTATTTCAAAATGGAACAAGAAACAATAAAATTGACTGATGTATCAAAACCATTACAATTGAACCTTATATTTATATAAATGTTCTACAACATTGAAGAGAAGACCTAACAAAAGAGAGAACCTAATATACCTCCAATTTTAGCTCTGCACAACCTAACATACCTCCAACACCAATGATCTGTGTGTAAATGTGTTTCTAGATCTCTATTGTAAGGCCACAAAACCTCTATAGATAGCTATATTCTCACGATATACATACCATACTTTTAAAATACTCTTTTACAATACCTCAAGCTCATTAGCCTTCTACCATGGCATTATAATGTTACACATTAATTGTTTTGAAGCATAATATTTGTATTCCTTAGGACCATACAGTAATGTTATCACATCAAAAATAAAAATGATACACAATTCTTAAGAAATAATTCCTCCTCATTATCACAATAGGATCTGACAAAATGCAATAAATATATTACAAAACAGAGATAATGAAATACTTAGGCATTTGTCAAGTCTAATTTAGCTCGCTCTAATTGAGTAATCTGACAATATCTGCCAAATCTTAGCATCTATAGAATTTCTATGAGACATTTTCTATATAAGAAGCCTACCAAATTTTAAATAGAGGAAGAGACTATGTAAACAATTATACATTTTTGAACCAATCTTAATGTAATTTTAAGTCTTATCTTGTTTCCTTTAAAATGTTTTGATCACCATAACAACGCATATAAATCAATGTATTTGTAGGTCACTTGTAGTGTCATTTCTAATCTTGTGTAGTTGCCTTCATACAAAACAAGTCGTAAAAAGCAATCTATAGATCAGTAAGTCGATTTTTTTCTAAAAAAGAAAAGGAAAACCATAATAACGTATCCTAATTGAGGACTTGTAAAATATGATGGTAATACTAAATTATAAAAATAAATTCCATAAACTGAACCTGCAGAACCATATGCTTGAGAACTGAGCATCCAAAGAACACTTCAATATTATGTAATTTTAAGCCAAGATTGCACAAAGTGTTCAATAAATGCACATACATAAAACCTGATGAACCTGTTCGGCCTTACACATAGACTAATAGTTCGGGGAAACCAAAGAAAATGGTCTAGAGGGAGGATGTTAAGATCAAGAATTTTATAAATAAACGATATTTTCTGCCATTCTTTTATATCTTGACTGTTGCACCTTTTGCCGGTTCTGTTTAGTTATAAGCTAAAAGTATCAACCATGTAAAAAGGGTCTTTGATTGTTATTACTTTTGCAGGAGCTATGACGTCATTCCTTGCGGCAACCACTGGAATATTACAGAATGATCTAAAGAGGGTCATAGCTTATTCAACAAGCATATTCTGCGACTCTACAAAGTCTTTATTCTTTGGCTTTGTGTAAGTAAACCGTCCACTTCCCTTAGGGATCTAAGGAGTTAAACAACAAAAAAGAAATGGCGACAGTTATTGCATAAGTTTTGACTACAAAAGAAAATAATTATAGGATGGCTACATAATATTGAAATATATCCATTGTTTTATAGAATATAACCAGTGAAGTGCTAAATTTCGTGCATATCCAATCTGAACGAGAAAGAACTAACTTGAGCTCTCTGTTACCTTTATTAAAGAACCATCAAGAGAATCACATTAAACAAATAAATGAATAGGAACAGAGCAAAAAGGAATAGCATACATGATATACTGATATCAAGAATCAGAACAACATGAGATGATAAAGAGCAAGTACTTACTCAATGCAGCATCATGGTCATTGAAGGTTTTCTTCATGGAGTTTGTGAAGTGATACTATTATTTTTCAAAGCCGGTGCAATGTGAATCCTACAAGCTTTTAATCAAGTGTCGATATGTTCTTTAGATACATAACATAAATAAATATATTATAATTGAAATACATCAAAATTCTCATGAACATTATAACTTTCATGAAAAAAAAAACTAAATCAATTACGAAGTAAAATGTCAATTTTTTTAATTTGAAATTGCGATCTATACTTTTACAATCAGTTTATAAGCATATTTTTAATGTAGTCTATGCTAAATATTTCTCACGAGTTGGAGATTAAAACAAAATTGTTATATAAGTATTTTTCTATCTTTTTTGCAACTGATACAATCCTACCAGAATTTATGTTGCTCAGACACTTAAAAAATGTCGGTGCTGGTCGAATTTGTCAAAAGTACTGTAATTTTGCAGAATCCAACATGGATGCGACATCAACAGTGAAGAGTCTGCGCAAATTTCTGTTAAGTTAACAAACAGGACAACATAGTAGTTTTTATAGAAATTTCAATAAAATCTGTAGATGCACAAGTTAGATCGGATACTAATTACTCTTTAATCATTTTTTAGTTGGTCAATAAGTCCACATCATGATGATCCAATTGTTAATAGAGGATAAATCTAGACCATTTAGCGTAGTTTTAAAGAAAAGTAGGTCAATTTTTCAAGATAAAAGAAAATCACGTTCATTAAAAACAATGAAGTGGACAAACCTCCATCAGCTAATGCCAAAGACTTTTCCTCGTGCCATTGTTCTTGAGGCAAAAGCTCAACTGCCACTATATCACCATCAAAAGCCATATTCATCTTTATTCTGGGAAATGAATTGAAAGAGATAATTCTGGGCAATTTCTAGAATGAAGATTGTGGGTAGATAATTCTAGAATAAAGATAGTGAAAAGATAATTCTAGAATTACATTGTTGGTCTGTGGTACCCACTTGGAGTGGCCATTCAGACTCCAATTGACACGTAATGACATAGTACAACACTTCAAAGTGCAATTAATATAGCTCATTGTACAATTCTTATTGCGGTGGTCGTCCATGGGATGACATTTCTATATAGTAGAAATATCTTTTAATCTTGTGGCCTTAGATATGACACGTAGAATGTTGAAATTAAAATGTTATTAAAAATAAAAGAAAATAAATTATTCTTTTTCAAACGAAAAAATTATTACTCATAATTTTTAAAAAATTCACTATATACATATATATATTCTACATAAATTGAGACCGAGAAAATACCATGTCCCCTCCAACTATCCAGTGATGTAGATGTTTTGATGATGTTGATCCACTTAAACTTACCTTCTAATATCCACCGTTCAATCTTATTTACTATTTCTTATTGTAATTTTTTTTCTTCTATCTATTTCTGTTATCGTACTTACTATAATAATTGATTCAAAATAATTATTGGAATACATGGTTTTTATTATTAAAAAATAATAAACTTACATAAATTTTACTAGTTTAGGAGTTAATTACTTAAACACATTATGGTTTGCAATATTACGTATCTTATTAAATTTTGGTGCATCTAGTTACGTTTAGATACGTCCAGGTACATTATCTCAGGATACATGAGGTCAAATTTGTTTCAGATAAATTGCATTCAAGTGGATTTGCATTTATCTCACCTCTCTCCCATCTTACTTGCTACTCTCCTATATATATGGTATTCTAAATACATGTGAATCACATTAGATACATATAGATTTTGCTTGCATATCTCCCTATTTTAATGTATCTGTAGTAAAAATACATATATCTAAGTGTATTTTTCTCAATATATGATAGAAAACTTTTAAATTCGAGATAAAATACCTAACATTTTGAAATTATAGATAATAATAGTTTATATAATAGTGAAATATGTTTAATTACGTAGTTTCTCCTAAAAAAAATATCATAACTTTGTTAGTCATACGTATTAACTGAAAAATAAAGTTTAAAATGAGTTCCCTCATGAATAACTATAGTCATCTTTCAAAGCATTTCCTTAAACATTGAGGGATCGTTTGGTAGTTATGTTATAGATACACATGGATTAGTTATGAGAGAATATTTATTATTATATGCGAGATTTAGTTATTTTACATTCTATCATTGCATAAACTAATACATAATTTTGCTTATGACCTATATAAGTATTAGTTATACAAATTTCTAAATCCAAATCAAACTATATTAATTTCAGACACACATAATTACTAACTATCAAACATGATATTATCTATATATAATTTAATATTTGTATAATGTACCTCAAATATGAATCAAAATAGTAATAAAGTAAATTTATAATTATTAAATTATTTTTAAAAAAGATGTCAATTCAAATATAAACAAGTAAAAATAACAAATATACACTAAATTAGACGGTATATTGAAATACCAAAACCGCATGTTAAAGATCCTAATTAGCAAAACAAAGACTACAAATTGATACATGTATAATGAAAATTCAGTTAAATACAAGATAAAAAATACGAGGGGAAAAATCAACGAGGCGAGTGTTCTAGAAGAAAAAACTAAGAAGTTTAATTAATATACATCTTGAGACAAGGAAGGCAATGAACTTGTCAAATTAATGTTTTTGTCCATGACAGAGAAGGTACAGGACCAATTTAATACAAACTCTACATAATACCAAAAATATCATCATAGTGAAACAGACATTATTATTATTATTGTACTATAAGATGGAGTTTGTGCTCAAGCAGGCTGTCTGCTTGATATTTTGAGGTATTTCTGTAAAAAAAAAATAGTATTTTTTTTGTTTTAATTTGTTTGTCTTATTTTTATTTTTATATTTAAAAGTTGTGTGAAAAATTATTATAAATCAAGATAATTGACAATTTAAAATATTTATAAAAAAAAATTAAAAAATTCGACTGATTCTTTAAATTAATCTATCGTTAAAAATTGCATAAAAAAGACTATAAATCATGATAATTGACAACTAAAAAGCTTTTAAAAACATATAAAAAATTCGACTGATTCTTTAAATTAATCTATATGTGTCACATAAAATGGGTCAGAAGAAGTAACATGTATTATTTAATTTAGAAATTACATAAAAATTATTGTAAATTTCAATAATTAACAACATTTGATTTACTCTTGAAATTATATTTGTGCTACATATATTAAGACAATGGGAGTAACATATATTATTAAAAATTACATAAAAAGTACTACAAATGTAATGACCGGAAGGTCATTTTTGGAAATTTTCATAAAAATTATAATTTTACCCCTTCTGATAGTTACGTCGAGTCATTTCTGATCAATCGGTGAAGTTGTGTTTGTGTTTGTATAAAACAAGAGAGACTGTATATACAAATACATATCTCTCCATCCTATACACTTATAATTATACAAATACAAATCTTCTCCTACTCAATCTTTTTTTGTCTCTATCGCTCTCTCATTTTATATAAGTATAATTTGTGTTTGTAATAAAGCGAGTGAGATTTGATATATAAACAAAAATGTCTTAAATCGATTCAATTGTATACGAATTCAAAGTTTATGCAGATATACAAACACAATCATTGATACATATTTATATAGTAGTTACATATATACAATTATCTAACTGATATACCTATACAATTCACCTAATCTCTCCACTCTCTGCCCTCTCTCGCTCGCCGCTCTCCTCTCTCTCCCAATCTCGTTCACTACCCTAGCCTAACACAGAGAACATATACATATACAAACACAATTTTTTATAGACACAAACGAATTAGTGTCCGATTTATACAAATCGTCGTGATTTATACAAATCAGATGATTCATATATAGCAAACATAATATGACTGTGGAACGTAAATAGCAAAATTGTAGCTATATAGCACTAATATGATTTTTATCTTTGCTATTCTTAAAATTGACTCTTTATTTTATATCCTATATCGCTTGATCCATATATATTAAAATGAATTAGATATAAACCAATAAAAATAAATAAACAAACGGGGACAAATATACACTAAATTAGATAGTATATTTAAATACCAAAACCACTTGTTAGTGGTTCTAATTAGCAAAACAAAGATTACAAATTAATATGCGTGCAATGAAAATTCAGTTAAGTTTAAGATAAAAAGTATGAGGAGAAAATCAACGAGGTGACTGTTCTCGAAGAAAAAAATCATCACATGTAATAATATATATATATATATATATATCGAGACAATGAACTTGTCCATATGAAAGAGAAGGTACAACACCAATAAAATACAAACACTACGTAATACCAAAATTATCCTTATAGTGAAACAGACATGTTAATAGAGAGGGGGCCTGATAACAAATTAGTTAATTTGTCCGTGCTTCGCCCGATTAGACATAATATTTCATAAATTTAATTGATATATAAAGGATAAAAAAATTATAATATCGAAACTAAAATGACAAACATATAACGTAAGATATGTAAAAAAAAATGAAAAAAATAATTAGAAAATGACGGTTAAAAAATAAGATATAACAATAAATTTCTAATAAAAGCATTACATGCATACATTTTTCTAGTTTTTTTAAGGATAAGTTTTTCAATGATGATTTAGATTTAACCTCTATATGAATATTCTATGACTTTTTATGGAATATTCGAGATGTATTTTCAAGGGAATATAGTACCCTTTATATAGGCATGAACTAGGGTTTAGGGTTTAGCCTCCAAGAATCTCAATTGGAATTGAACACGTATTGTAGATTCTCAACTAAAATTGAACACGTCTTGTAGAGTCCAACAAACTTTCAATGTTTACGAATACCCCTGCTTCAAGGCTTGTCAGATCAAGACGAGGCTTGAAGCACTCATTCTTCCACATTTGCAGCTTCAGATTTTCAGATTTGATTTATAAGAGAAGAGATGAAAGGCAGATTTGGTCCCACTGGGCGTGCCAATTCGTTTGCAACAAATTTTAAACATATGGAAAATAAGTCAACCACACAAATAAAATATGAAGAAACTTGAATATTTTATTGATAATAGTGCGGGTATAATTCTGTTCCTCCCTTTACTCTACTCTCCTGAGATTTATCCATGATTCGAGGGCCGTTAGTGGCATATTTCTTGAACTAGGATGATTTAGATTTGACCTATATATGAATATTCCATGAATTTTGTAGAATATTTGAGATGCCTTTTCAAGGGAATATAGTACCCTTTATATAGAAATGAATTTGGGTTTAGCGTTTAGCCTCCCAGAATCCCAATTGTAATTGAATACATATTGTAGAGTCTCAACTAGAATTGAACAATGTCTTGTAGAGTCCAACAAAACTTCAATGTCTACTAAGTGATTTTTTTTTCTAAAAAATATTTTAAAAGACTACAAGTTAAAAAATAAGATATAACAAAAAAATCAAATAAAAGCATTACATGCATACGTTTTTCTAGCTTTATATTGATAAGTTTTTGAAGGAATAAATATAAATGATATAGCTGAAATAGCATAATATGGAATAAAAGATTGTGAAGTATTTAAAAAAAGGGAAAAATATAATTATTAGACATTGTCTGTTGAAGACTTTCAAATAACTTCCCCGGAGGATTGTTGAACTTTCGAAAGATACAGTAAAAATATAAATTGAACTAATTTAACGATATTATGTTTTTTTTACACATGACTCTTCGATATGAATACCTGATGAGAAAATCATTGTACGACTTATATTATAGGAAATCGTATAAAATAAAAAAATCACAATATTCATCACATATAATTAGTTGTGCGGCTATTTGATATGAATCATTTTGCTTAATCTTATTCAATATTTTTTGAATTAACGACAATCATAAACGCTAACATTAAAATTCAAAGTTATATTGAACTCATTTTTCGCTTCATAACAAACTAATAGTCTAATATTGTGCTATTACATTCAAGAAAGAATAATTATATATATATATATATATCAACGATGATCAATCTTTAATTCTTATTCCTAAAATTCACATTAATTGAAGAAGTAGAAGAACACATATTGTGATAACTCACAACAGAATGTCACAATAACATGA